GTCCTCGTCACGAGCAGCGCCTCTCTTCGGCCAGCTCTTTTCGCTCTCTTACGTTTTTCACTTTTCCACTTTTTCGACGTAAGCATTGCTGCCCTCGACTCGCCTGATACCCCCCTTCCTCCTCCTCCTCCGCCACCTCATTCTCCTCCTCCTTCTTCTCCGACTCTATCAACCACCACCTCCTTCCCGCCCTCCCATGCATATGCAATTTGCGCGCATGTGTATTATGTGTTCTCTATGTTCACGTGCACTTCCGGTGTGTGGAGATAAAGTAAGAAAAACAATCAGCCTATTGTCGCCGTTTCACGACTGCGTGCCCAAGCAAAAATAAGCCCTGGAATCGTCGATGAGTCATAATTCAAAACGTCTGCTTTATCTATATACGGCCATTACAAGAGTTGTAAAAAGTCTCCTTAACAGGCGACGAGCTTTATTTCTATCGAAATCGGTTTTCCACTCTTACAACATATTCTAAACGGCTAAAGGTAAAACGCAAGGCAGTCGACCTATAATAAACAAGGTTTGGCCCAACGTTAGCTTATCTCCTTAAATTTACTACTCACGTTTTTCTTTTTCTTCTTCTTTTTTTTCATTTTTTTTTTTTCATTTTTTTTTTCTTTTTTTATCATTACCTACCACTACGCGTTGAAATTTTCTTTTTTCTTTCTTCCTTTCATCGCTCGAATCACCAGATGTTTTTCTACTTTTTCACGATATCGAATCGCTCGTGCAAATAAAGTTATCGTATGACTAATGCTTTCCGCTCATCATCCTTCTCTTCATAAAAAAAAAAAAATAAAAATAAAAAAAAAAAAAAAGAAATTGAAAAAAATTAAAATATGAAAAATGTCACATTAAGAGTTAACACGGTAGGCCGATTATGATATACCGACTATCACACACGGCTATCGTAAAATGACGAATACCTATAATTCGAATTCTGAAATATTAAAAGAATTCTGTCTAACAATATACATAATAAAATTATTTAAAGGCATGTTTGTACGTCTAAACGGCCAAAGCTTCGCGATCCGTTATACGCTCACTCGTTAATTCAGTCTTATGAGCAGCACACATTCTTCTTTCGAACGACATTTTACGTAATTAAACCAATACGATTGCGCATATCGGCGATGCGTTCGTTCGTTCGTTCGGCCCCTCGGTCGGAGCAACGATATTTCAATATTTGAAAATATAATGTCGACCTCGGCGGAGTAGCCGGAATAGTAGCTACGCGAACACTCGAAACAGCGAGCGGCTAAGAAACGCGGATGGCTAAATTAAAGTTATCAATCCAAACCATAAGCTTAAAAGAACTTCTCGATAGGGAGAGAGAGAGAGAGAGAGAGAGAGAGAGAGTGAGTGAACGTGAGAGAGAAAAAGAAATATAGAGAGTGACTTTATAAGTAAACGACGGTGCGACATACGCTGCTCTCACCGAGCTCGCGCGAGAGCTCCAATTCGCCATCGTTATCATCGTCGTCGTCGTCGTCGTCGTCGTCGTCGTCGTCGTCGTCGTCGTCGTCGTCATAGTCGTCTTCGTCTTGGCTGTCGCGCGCGAGACTCGTCCGCGGCCGGTTTCGCTTTGTTTTGGGCCACACGGGAGACACGTGCGCGCGCGCCAACTCGCCTCATTGCGGCGGCCATCTTAAAACCGGGGGCCCCCGCAGCAGGAAGTCCCGGGAGAACTTAAGAGAAGCCGAGAAGCACTTAAGGCGCGATCGATCGAGAAAACACGTTAAGGGCAGCTCGTGTCGGTAGTCGCGCCGAAAGCTCCCGGTGCTCGGCCCGGCCCACCCCACCACACCCCACCCCACTCCCCATCGCACAGCCGCTGCATTCCCCACGTGGCCAGGGGTCCACGCCGTTACAAGTTTACGAAGCGGAGCAGCAGGATTCGTGGGGATGTGCGTACAGACGAGGGTGCTGATATCGGACGGGATCCGATCGACGCCGATCGACTCGAGATCCCATCCAAGAAATCCCCGCTTCATGCATAACGGCAGAATGCCGTCGCGACGGAGTGCGATCTCCGGCTCGTTTTGAATAAACCGGAGGCCTCGAGGATAATGAGAAACTCGCAGGTAGGGGGCAAAACGTAGTTTTCGACTTATAAAGTTAAGTTATAAAGTCTTTATAAAGTCTTGGCACGGTTTATGAAGAAATTGCAGGCTCGAGCGAGCGTGGACTAAGACGGTGGATCCCCCCTCCCCCCTTCATTGCCGCGAAATGTGTTGTTGAATTACGTAAGCGCACCGCCCGAGGCGATGGGAAAACAAAAAACAATACCAACAGGACGAACGATTTTAAACAGAGGAAGGCGACAAGATGTTAACAAATGAGACGCAGGTGTGTGTAAGAGTGCGTATTGTCTCACCTTGAAGAGTTCACCGCACTCGAACATCGGACTGCTCATGACTGCCGTCGACATGTTTCTTCCAGCTTTCTGCACAAAAACACTAAAATTTCGAAGCAAACCCTTGCGTCTGTGGCCGTAAAATGTTGCCCGGGTTCTCCGTCCAGTGTAGTAATAGCTCCGAAACACTATACAGCTCGATCAACACTCTCGATCTCTCTTCAACGCGGACTCATCGAGAAACCAGAGAGCGAGTCGGTCTCGGTCACACACACACACACTCTCTCTCTCTCTCTCTCTCTCTTTCTCTTTCTCTCTTCCTTCCTCTCTCTTTTCTTCTTTCTGTCTTTCTGTCTCTATTTCTTTCTTTCTTTCTCTTTCTCTTTCTCTTTCTCTTTCTCTCTCTCTCTCTCTCTCTCTCTCTCTCTCTCT